GTATTTTTAGGTAGCTCTGTGGTTAAGATTTGCTCATTTGTCTGTCCATGATAAGTATTATTTTATCTGTCACCTTCTTCCTCCCATCTCACCAAGCGTACAAAAACCCATGTATCTTGCTAGAACTTGGAATTTACCATGAACCATCCTTTGTTTAAATCCCCAGTGACTCTTTGTTACAGATAGTCTAAGTACCCCTGCCTGGAGTTCAAGGGCACTTACAGCTCCCACTAGGAGAGTTGGAGTCCTGCTGGAAATCCACCTTTCCCATTATATTTTTATATCCTAACATAAAATGTCTGCTCCAGGGAGGCCCACTCAGCATCTCAGAGCACCTAATGCTCTTGCCTAATTATGAGCATGTTTCTGACCTACCCTCTGTCCAGCGTGTCTTTCTTGTCTTTTTCTCGCCCAGATCTCCAGGTCAGTGATCACATCCCTTCTGTGCTAAGCCCACCCATGCCCCAGGGCCTTTGCAAATGCTGTTTACACTGCATAGTCCAGTCTTCTCCAGAAAGCCTCATCACGTATGCTCTTCCTTCTTTCTGGAATCAGTTCCAATGTCACATCATCAGAGAGCCCTGTCCTGACTACCCTGTATACATAGCATAGCACTCGCTCTGTGTCACACACACCTTACTTTATTTTTCTTCAGGGCACTTACCCTTCCCTGATCTATTGTAAGTTCACCTGTTTAAATGTTAAATCTATCTCTCCCTACAAGAATTGTGGATGTTTCCTTTGTTACTGTATCCCCAGTGCCAGGGGCTCATTGATATTTGTTCAGTCAGTGAAACAGGGAGGAATGGTACAGTCCTGGGGTCTTTGCGGTCCTTGTATTCCGGTCAGCAAGTGCCACTTGCTCTGAAGCCCCACCTCCTAAGGGTCTAATACCTCATGTCACTCAAGAGAGTTGTGTTTTTCAATACAAAGACCTGGATCCCATCCCTTGAGATGCTAATTTAGATCTAGTGAAAATCAATTTTTTGAAAAAAGCTCCCCAGATAATTATGAGGTTTGAGGAGTATTTTTAAATCACAATGGGACCAGAAGAACAAAAACAGGGGGTGGGGGGAGGTCCTGTGGTTAAAAATAAATATGCAAAATTCTGCACTATATTTCCCATGTTGGAGGATCATAATGTGCTTTAGCATGATAAAGGCACAGTGAAATAATGTAGTGAAGAAACACGTTTTATTGAACTTGGCATTTCCCACGCTTAGTTGATCATGGAACCCTTCCCTTTATTTCCAGGACTATTAATGTAATATTCCTCTTAGATTAATTTCTGTAGATGCTCCCCCTTAAGAGAGGAGCTTGACTCCCCATCCCTGAGCGTGAGCTGCATTTAGAAACTTGCTTCCAGAGAGTAGACTATGGAAAGAGGGGGGAAAGGAACTTCTCAGCTGAGAAACCTGGCAAACATGACCTCAGATATTCAAGGGTATCATCAACAGGGGTCTGTTATGTGGACAGCAGGTACCCTTGATACCGTGTGATGAGGGTGGCACTTCAGCTCTGTGACCTTCCAAACCCCAGTCTAACCATGAGAAAAACCAAAATTGAGAGGCACTCTGTACATTATCTGACCAGTAGTCCTCATCAAAACCAAGGAGAATCTGAGACATTGTCACAGTCCCTAGGACCCTAAGGAAACATGATAATTGAATGTAATGTGGTGTCCAAGATGGGATCCCGGGACATGGATAAATTAGGGAAAACTGTCAAGTCCAAATGAAGTGCGGAGTTGAGTTAATGGTGATGCACCAACGTTGGTTCCTTAATTATGACAAATGTACCAGGAATTGCAAGATGTGTGTAATAGAAGAAGCTGCATGAGCGGTATATGAGAACTCTCCGTACTCTTTTTTGCAACTTTTCTGTATATCTGAAGTAATTCTAAAATCAAAAGGCTATTTAAGTAAATAATTGGTTAGTAAACTATTCACATGGGCAACAGCACGGATGAATCTCATAGATGCTATGTAAGTGAAAGATGATGGCACAAGAGTATGTAGCATTGCATATAGACATAAAATACAAGAAAAGGCAAAAAGAATCAGTAAGAATGGTGGTTCATTTGGGGGATACACTGGGAACAGATAACAAAGGAAACCTTATAGGGTGCTGAAAATATCCTGTATCTTGATTTGGGTAGTGATTGCAGGAGCCTATATAAAAAAAAACAAAAAAAAACAAACAAACAAAAAACCAAGATGTGCATTTTTTTATGCTTTAGTGTACATTTGTTAAAGCTCAATTTAAACACATAATTTAAAATTAAATTACAAATATTAAATAATTTAAATTATATTAAATTATAAAAAAATTAAATAAACTAAATAATTTAAACTTAAAATGCTCAATTAAAAATGCATATAAAGAAATATCAGGAAGGATATTCATCAGGTTTTCATAATGGCTGCTTCAGGGTGGTGGGATTTTTTTTTATGATATTTCCCTTTCTCCTTTGTTTTTATTTGTAATCTCTTTCAATGATTCATATTTTAAACACAAAACCAATAAAGACATTATTCTTTTCTTTAAAAATTCCACCCTGTAATAGAATCATTCATGAGATTGGTAAAACCTCAAAAGTTTAACACACTATTTAGACAAGGTTTTGAAGCAGTAGGCATACAGGCTTTTTCCTGTGCTTTTTTTTTTCTAGAAATTTTATACTTTCGTGGTTACTATTTCAGCCTATGACTCATTTTGAGTTAAACTTTGTGTTAAGGAGTGATGTACACGTGGGGGTTCATTCTTGGCACGTGGCTATACAAGCGTCTCAACACCATTTGTTGAAATGGCTCTCCTTTCTCCACTGAATTGCTTTTTCATCTCTGCTAAAAATCAGTTAATGGTCTCTGTGTGGCTCTTTTCTGGGCTGTCTCTTCTCTTCCGTTGATCTAGATTTCTGTCCTTTTGCCAATGCCACCCTATCTTTATTACTCTAGTTTTCTGGTAAATCTTAAAATGAAGTTTATAGTATACCTTAAAATCTAAAGTCTATAGTCAGTGGAAAAGCCCATCTCATGTAATGGAAATGCGTAATTAGTTTGCTGAGCCTGAGCAATTCTGTTGTTTCAGATGGTTTCTGGGAGGAATGTTAGCCGGTGTCTTCACATGCTCCTTGATGATAACTATAGCTTGTAAGTAACTGTTTCCCAAATGACTGCCCTGATTCCTGTATTTCATTCCAATTTTGGCCATTTAAAAATATTTTCTCTTTCTCATCCGAGATCTTGTCAAGTCACTGTGTCTCAGCCTTGCCAGCTATTTCAAAGCCACTGCGGGTGCTTGGTAAGTGTTGCCTGTGTTATCATCGTCTGGACAAAGATGACCATATCTGATATCCGAGAATGCTTTGTGTTGAGTAATGATGGCAGAGACCACATACAGGAAAGGTCCTGATCTTTTGTCCTGAAGAATACTTTTGGTTACCCCTAACAGTATTATCATTCTGTCTCCTAAATTCTTACACCAAAACAGAATAGAATTAATTTGTAAGGCAGCAGGACTTAGGAAATCACATGAATTTTAAATTTTTAAACAGTTTTAAAGGGCGTTTATAGATCCATAGCACTGCCCTTTAAAAAAATACTTCATCTTAAAATGCCTTTCTTTACCTTAGCGTTTCCCAAATACCTGGCAAACTGCCCATGAAATGATCTCAGTTGCAAACTGTGATTTCTCTGCCATCTCTCCTCGCTTAATGATCCCCTGGATGCTGACTGCCATGGTTCAGCATATTTCAAAGGGTTACTGGGGTCTGGGTGAGAGGCTTCCAGAATTTCAAGCAGCCTGCAAAGTACCATCCATTGCAAGATGGATTGTGTTAATTACCTTCCCTTCAACATGGCTGCCAGAGGCCAACTCCCATAGCTTGGAGACTGAGGACTGTAATTCAAATTAGTTTACTGGCCTTTGTTCTTGACACCACGTTGCCCTATTTATGAAATCTTCGGGTTAATTCTGAAATCACAACGGGGCTGAGTGAAGATTTGTTTTGTTTACGACTCCAGCCAGTATTGATTTACTGACGCTTTGAGTGATGCTTCCTTTAGTTTCCTGGCACTCCAGGTTTCTGGGTGCAGGCATTGACACAGCTAAGTTTTGTTTAATCTGATAGCTAGAAAATTGGGCCCTGAGGACACCCGAGAAATCCTTATTCCTTAGCCCTTGTAAATGAATAACATTTGTTTAAAGCTCTTCTAAGATACGCACTCCCCTCCCTCTGGCTACAGGCCGCCCTCTGCCCCACATGGCATTAACCACAGGTCTGTATGTATGCTTGGCTTTATGGGCTGAGACATGACACTCACATGACTGGAATGATAATATCTGAACCAAAGAGTCTCACCCAAAGAGTCACTGTGTAACGCAACTTTCAGAGGTGAAAACATTACTATTGTTTGTCAGATGGTGTGAATTGTATAAATCGGTTCTCTGTGGGTTTTAAGATGAACATGTCAACTTAATGAGAAAAAACAAGGATCATCTTGTTAGGAAGCTCTGTAATGAGGGCAGAGTTTCTCCAAGTGTGGCATGGAAGCAACCTCTCTAGAATCAACTGGGAAGCCTGTTTAAAGAACAGATTTATAGAACCTGATTCCAGACCTTCTGAACTGAAATTTCTGAGAGGGGTTTCTTTTGACAACTCCTCCAGGTCATTTTTTTGCACATTAACTATGAATATTTTGGGAAGATGGTTTGATTTCTAAAGTGGCATCCCTTAACCTACTAAATATATCTTTACTGAGAACTTGTATGTTCTGTGCTGCATTGGGTGCCCCGTTCTGCTCAGCAGACATTTATGGAGTTTCCACCAAGAGCCAAACACTGTCGTCTGGTGTCAGGGTTGCAATGCCAAGGCCTCAAGATTTCAGAGTCAGGCCTGCAGGGGTTATGTCACCTGTGGCTTTTAGGGCACCTCCTATTGTTCTGACCTCCCAGTTTGTTTTCTCCAAAAAGAAATTAGATCAGCACCAGGATGACAGTTCCACCCAAAATACTCTCATCTACAGCCTCATTTACGGAATAAGATCCCTTCTTGGATTCTTTGTGTACATGCTTTAACTTGTTCTCTTGTTCCCTCTCCATTTTTTCCTATTTCTTCCCACCAGGCCTCATATACACACAGTCTTGCATTTAAGACTTATGAAAACAAGGACTATTGATTTCATTTTCATATCCATCTCAATGCCTCGAAAATAGTAGATATGTCATTAAATATTCATTGAATGTATTTGCTGCATCATTTCTTAAAGTACTCCCTTTATAGCCAAGAGCTCTGTATAGTAAAGATTTGCAACTCTCTCCCTCAAATATAAACATACCTAGAAACAAATGAGCCAAAGTCATTGCTATTACTATTGAGAGTCAAGAATGCATCCTAAGTCCGTTCCAGCAATCAAGGATGAAGCTCTAAGGGCCTGCAGGGAAAGCTCTGAATCTACTTTCACACACATCAACAGAGCAGCCCTCCCATGTCTGTCCTGCATGCTGAAGTTAGATTACTAAATGCCAATTCTTCAGCGCTTTCCACATCTCAAATCACATCCCTTTTCATACCACAACGCAATTCTTATTCAACCGCCTTCTTGGTTAACTGTGAAGTCTGCGAGTTAGGGGACTGTCTGCATTGTTCACCATTGTCCTGAAAGTCCCTTTCAAATGAGGGTCCTCACAGGTATCCCACATTGCCAATGGGTTAGCATGAGCACTCTACATTTTGCACACGTATGACGTCAGGGTAGCAAAATGGGTATCATGTGTTCTCTCTTACATGCAGAAATGTACGTTTATATAGCTTGCGAATGAATGAATAAGCTTTAGGGAGTAGAAATAGGGGGGCAAGCCACTTGTGACCCTCTAGGCATTTCTGTTCTAGAGGGGGTTATGGAGAGAAAACAATATGAAATGGTGATGAAGTAAGTACCAAACTGAGATTAGGGGCTGAAACCTCTACAGCCTGTCAGAGGCAAAGGAGGGAACTGAGAACTGCTGGGGCCACAAAAAAGAAAAAGAAAAAGTTGCTCGAAGTGGAAGCCCCACTTTCATAGCGAGGATTATGCAAGCTAGTTTGTTGGTGTGTGTGCACCGTGTGCTGTGTCTGTATGCAGTGATTAGAGTCGATACCGCGTTTCCTGTGTATGGGGATGAAGTATGCATTTCTTTTCTCCTTTCTCTGATCTAGGTTTGATAAGATTTGACAAGCATCAAGAGTGCCTCTGATGAATGTCTTCAATCTGAATATACCCGAAAATTGTCCAATTTGCAGCCTGCTTGGAACAACTGCTTTATTGGAAGGGAGTGAGCGACTGGATACTTGAGAAAACACATTTTAATTCAGTTTTTAAAAAAATCCCAGTTTTGCCCTCATAATTGTAATATGCTCATAACAATAATATCAATTCATCTTTCCTTTGCAAACGTTAGCAGTTGAAAGGGAAAGGACTGTGATATGTGCCAGAGAACAAACCACCTGGGTAAATGCTGCCCTATTATCTCTAAGGCAGTGGTTCCCAAACATCAATTTTCATTAGAGAATTATAAGGGGAGCAAATAACAGGCAGATCCCTGGGCCTGCCGACATGGACCTGTCCTTTGCTGAAATGCTTTAATTGAATGACAAAAGCAAGTTTGTTTTATTTTTTATTAACTAATTGCATCTTGAAAGTAAATAAATGCAGTTCATACTTAAAATATAATGTAGAAAAAGTCATCATTTCTCCCAAAGGAGTGGGTCAGTATTTGGTGGTGATGGTAGATGATGGTTGATGGAAAATGGGCAGGAGACTGCCATTTGTTGAAGGTATATTCTCTTGAACCATTTTTTTTAAACCAAGTTTTCAACCTTCTTAGTGAATTGTAATTCACTAAAATTGCAATTAAAATAAAGATATAACAGAAAAAAAATGCCTTAAGGGCAAAATAAAGGCAAAACACGAGAGTGCGTTGAAACACGTAAAAATGGCGCTGCTGCTTCACAGACCGAAGGCTTGTATAAGGTGCTCCGTCTTCATCTCTCTCACCTGGGATAGGTTCCCGAATGTGTCTTCCAATTTAGATTTGTGCGATATGATATTCTCTGTCTAGACATTTGTGTGGAGAAATTGGTCTTGGCTTAAAATGGCAATGTCAAAATGTCACTTTTTATATTATTTGTATTTAGTGCCTTTTGGTTGAAAAAAAGTATTATACTAATAGTAAATGGAGTCATCAGCAAAGTATATATATCTATATCTATATAGTATATACATCTATAGCTATATATCTTACTACAATATAGCTACGAGTATATAGATAGATAGATAGATAGATAGATAGATAGATAGATAGATGAACGTGTACATATACAATAAATGCAGGTTGGCTATTTCTACTCTGCTGTTTAAAGTCGACATGAAGGTAGACAGAGCAACTATGCTTTTGAAGCTTCATTTAAAGCTCTGAAGAGGTCAAAAGAGCATGGGCTTTGCCGGGACCCAGAGCTGAAACTGAATCCTGCTTCTCCACTTATTTCATGAAGTTGCTTAATCTCTTTGAGTCTCAGTGGCTTTATCTATAAAACAGAGATCATACTTCCTACTTGTCAGGGTTGCTCTGAGAATTATTGATAATGTGACTTTTAGGGGGGACGGCTTAATCCTCTCCCCATCATGTCTATGTTAGTTATCCGTTTCTGAGTAACAATGTTGACACAAACTTAGCGGTTTAAAACAGCACCCGCTTAGTCTCTTACGGTTGCTGTGGGTCAACAGTCTGCACACAGCTTAGTTGGGTCCTATGCACAGCTGCCATCAAGGTGTCATCCAGCACTGGGGAAGTTCTGTGTCCAAGATCCCAAGATTGTTAGTAGAATTCAGTTCCTTGTGACCCAACAGCTAAGGCCTTCCCCACCTGAGTCTTCAGATGTGAGCCCCAGCTGGACATGTCTTGTTGTAGCCTTGCAGAGAGAGGACCCAGTTGGGTTAGGGACTCCAGGAGACCCACAGAAACTGTGAGACAATAGCTGTGTGCTCTAAACTGCTGGGTTTGTGCCAGTCTTATTAGGCAGCACTAGGTAACACAATATCCACAAATTCTCCCCCAAGTTACTTTGTGAAGAAGCAACCCGAGTAAAAGCAGAATGTGGCTCTGCAAAATGACTTCGGAACAAGTCTGCTAGCAGCTTCCTGCAGCCAGATCACTGGCCCCTGCTGCACCATTTAGAGCAGCTATTATCACCTTAAACTCCTGCAGCCCGCCCACCCCTACCCCACAGAGGTACTCTGAGCCCGAACTGCTGACACGTGTGGAGCCAGAAAGACTCATCACGGGATGTCGTCACTCTGCTAGGGTTCAGTCTGACTGCTCTGAGGGTCCCATCTGTCGCTGCAGCCCCAGCAGCAGCAGGCAGCACGCTTGTGGAGAATAACGTCTGGGGCACACCATACATTTTCCACTCCTTGGGAATGAATGAGCTTGCTCAAGTTTATAACAGTAATCAGAATATTACCGGAGGTGTCACTTTGATTCTACAGTCCCGTTTATGCATTCACTCAGTCAATGTCTATTCAGTCCCTGCCGTGGGCCAGGCGCTAGTCTAGCTCCTGGGGATATGACAATGAAGAAGACGGATGAGATTTCTGCTCCCAGGGGGCTGCGTGTTTATGTCGCTTCCTTTCGCTCTGTGAAATAGGCAAAAGAGCCATTAAAAATATGTTTTAATTGTTAGAACAACACAAATACAGATATGGCAAATGCCCTTGGAAGAACCTTGCCAGACATGCCAGGAACCCTCTAGTGGTCCGTCCCAAAACCCTCCTGGTCCAAGTAAACACTAGCCTGATTTTTATGGTAATCATTTCTGTACCTCTCTTTGGGGGTTTATCACCAGTGTTTATTCCTAAATGTTATAGTATAGCTCTGCCTGGTTTTTTTTTCTTTTTTTAAAATATGTCTCTTGGTCTTTTTTTAATGTATAGGCTCTCCCTCCAACTATCCCCCCACCTTTGAAGTTTGTTTCCTGGGGAAGTTAGATCCTCTGTCCTGTAGCGTTTTCTCAATTGGAACTT